TTCTGGTCTTTTCCTGGAAAGAAGGAACAAACCGAAGCCAAAACTGAAACAAGTCAACAAATACAGATATTTTCCTTCACTTTTACTTCCTTTACTTTTGGGAAGTAAAATTAAAAAAAAAAATTTTTTTTTCTACAAAAACCTTTAAAATCCCATCCCTATATTCCAAAGGAGATTTTTAACAATTTTTTTTGAGTTGGAGTCTCACTGTCGCCCAGACTGGAGTGCAGTGGCCACTCCCGGCCACCGCAGCCTCGACCTGCTGGGATCCGGCGATCCTTCCGTCTCAGCCTTCCAAGTAGCTTGAATTACAGGCGTGCGCTACCACGCCTGGCTGATTTTTTTGATTTATTGTAGAGATGAGGTCTCGCCAAGTTGCCCAGGCGGATCTCGAACCCGCGGGCTTAGGCAATCCACTCACCTCAGCCTCCCAAAGGCGCGGGATTACAGGCTGAGCCACTGAGCCTGGCCAAAGGAGATTTTTTAAAAGGCCATGAAAAATTGTGATTTATAAGACACAATTAGTTGACAAACTATTAGCAACAAGATCATGTCATTAGAGGTAATTTGAATCAATAAAATCTTTGCTTGATTCTGTGTAAAGACTCCTCAGTGAGAATAGAAGCAAAAGTCACTGCCTGGTGTGGTGGCTCATACCTGTAATCCCAGCACTTTGAGAGGCAGAGGCAACAGGATTGTCTGAGTCCACGGGTTAGAGACCAGCCTGGGCAACATGGTGAGACCTCATCTCTACAATAAAAAATTAAAAAAATTAGCTGGGCGTGGTGGCACACGCCTATAGTTGCAGCTACTTGGAAGGCTGAAGCGGAATGATCGCCTGAGTACAGCAGGTTGAGGCTGTGGTGGCCATGAGCATGCCACTTCACTCCAGCCTGGGTGACAGAGTGAGACTCCTAACAGCTACAGTTTTCTGAATGTCTGTTGTATATCAAGCATTATTTTATTTTATGTATTTATTTTGAGTTGGAGTCTCTGTCACCCAGGTTGGAGTGCAGTGGCACAATCACGGTTCACTACAGCCTTAACCTCCTGGGCTCAGGAAGAACAAGTCACCGCATTGGTCTTTATTTATTTTTATTTTTATTTGGAGTCAAGGTCTCACTCTGTCACCCAGAATGGAGTGCAGAAGCATGATCATGGCTCACCTCAGCCTCGACCTTCTGGGCTCAAGTGATCCTCCCATCTTGGCCTCCTGAACTCTTGGGCTCAAGTGATCCTCCCACCTCTGCCTCCCAAAGTGCTGGGGTTTCAGGTGTGAGCCACCACACCCGGCCCCAAGTATTATTTTATTTTATTTTATTTATTTATTTTTTTGAGTTGGAGTCTCACTGTTGCCCAGAATAGAGTGCAGTGGCCGCTCCCGGCCACTGCAGCCTCGACCTGCTGGGCTCCGGCAATCCTTCCGCCTCAGCCTTCCGAGTAGCCGGAATTACAGGCGCGCGCTACCACGCCTGGCTAATTTTTTTATTTTACTGTAGAGATGAGGTCTCGCCTGCCCAGGCAGGTCTCGAACCCGCGGGCTCAGGGGATCCACTCACCTCAGCCTCCCAAAGGCGCAGGATTACAGGCTGAGCCACCGAGCCCGGCTACCAAGTATTATTTTAAAAGCTTTACATGCAAGGTATTTTATGAAGTTCGGTATCATTATTAGTCTTGTTTTACAGATAAGGAAATAGGTTCAGGGAGATTCAATAGTTTGCTTAAATGTTCACAGCTAGAAGTTTCCTGTTATCTTCACCCCTTCCCTTAAGAAAAGCTATAAATGGCAACACCACAAAGGTGAGGTAGATGCCAGGAAATGTAACAACCATATAATATAAACTCAAGACAACACAATAGCTTTATGCATGAGACAATTAATTTAAATAACAGAGTAATTTGTCAGGGCCCAGTTTTTGAGCAGAATTCATCTTTACATCAGGGCCCAGTTTCTTAGCAGAATTCAGCTTTATGTTTCTGTAACTAGAGGATTTGGATTCAGGTGGTATAGCCAGCTTGGGGAGAAGCTAGGAATTATTATTATTGGGTCAGAGTCTCAGTCTGTTGCCCAGGCTGGAGTGCAGTGGCACAATCATGGCTCATAGCAGTCTTGATCTCCTGGACTCAGGCAATCCTTCTTCCTCAGCCTTTTGAGTAGCTGGGACTACAGATGCACACCACCATGCCTGGCTCATTTAAACATTTTTTTTGTAGAGATGAGATCTTGCTATGTTGGCTTGAATCCCTTGGCTGAATCATCTTGCCTCAGTATCCCAAAGTGCTGCAATTACAGGTGTGAGCCACTGCACCCAGCCTATTTTCTTTTTCAGGTAGCCATAATGACACTCTCTTTTCTTTTCAGGGTGTATTTCCTCAAAACAAGGACATCCTCTTCCATAACCACAATACAATGAATAAAATTACAAAACTGTCACTGATAATATGCCATTAGTAATCTACTCAGATTTCATCAATTGTCCCACTCAGATCAGCAAAGGAAAATCCCAGATTGTGCACTGCATTCAGTAGTCTTGTGTCTTAGGCTCCTTTTCTACGGAACAATTTTTCAGCCTGCCTTCTCTTTTATGACATATATTTTTTAAAAAAGCATATATCTGTTATTTTGTTGAATTTCTCTCCATTTGAGTTCGACTAATGTCCTGATTAGACTCATGTTATGTATTGCTGGCAGGAGTATCACAGAAGTCAAATCGTGTTCTTTCCAGTGCATTTTATCAGGAGATATATAACATGTCCCATCACCGGTAATGTTGACCTTGACCTCTTGGTTAAGCTGATGTCTGTAAAGTTTCTCCAGTGAAGTCACTATTCGCCCCCCCTTATTTTTACATTACTGAATTTTTTAAAAATTGTGGTAAAATATACATAACATAAAATTTACCGTTTTACCTTTTTTTTGAGGAGTCTCACTCTGTTATCTAGGCTGGAGTGCAGTGGTACGATCATAGCCAACACAGCCTTGGTCTGCTGGCCTCAGGTGATCCTTCTGCCTCAGTCTTCCAAGTAGCTGAGATTACAGGTGTGTGCCACCCCACCTGGCTAATTATTTTTTTTAAATCTGTTGTAGAGACGAGGTCTTGCCATGTTGCCCAGGCTGGTCTTGACTCCTGGGCTCAGGCAATCCTCTTACCTCGGCCTCCCCAGATCCTGAGATTACAGGCATGAGCCACCACGCCCTGCTCATTTTAGCCATTTTTAAGTGTCCAGTTCTGTGGCATTAAGTACATTTACACTGTTGTACAATAATCACCTCCATCCATCCACAAAACTGTTCCAAGGCTGTACCCATTAATGCCCTTTGTAATATTATGCAGAAACCTTCCTCCCTCCAGCTTCCCTACAACTGATTCTTGTTATTGTCACTAGTTAACCCAGAAAGACTCTTCTTCTGGGTTGACATGAGATGAGTTGAAGGTCACCATCATGACGTAACTACTGATCTCATCTCTGTTTTTTCTGAGTTGGAATCTCACTCTGCCGCCCAGGCTAGAGAGCAGTGGCACACTCACAGCCACCCCAGCATCCACCTGCTGGGCTCTGGCGATCCTTCCACCTCAGCCTTCCAAGTAGCCGGAACTACAGGTGCACGCTACCACGTCTGGTTAATTTTTGATTTATTGTAGAGACGAGATCTTGCCAAGTTGCCTGGACTGGTCTTGAACTCACAGGCTCAGGCAATCCACTTGCTTCCGCCTCCCAAACTGCTGGGATTACAGGCTGAGCTACAGAGCCCGGCCAAGCCTAGCTTTTTAAAGGAGAGAACATGAGAACTTGGGCAAGTCCCCTTTGGTAACAAAGATAATAAGCCTTCAGAAACCTGTCCATTGTGGACAAGAAAGAGAGAGAAAGCAGAAAATGTTCTGAACTTCCATAAAATTGGATTTGGCCAACATTTTGTTGGTTTTGTTTAAATCCCAAATCTTCTCCTTTCCCAACCTCTACGCCATGTATGCTCTCTTCAGAGGTGTGAACTTCACCGAAACCTGCCTCTGGCCGCTACCATTCTACTTTCTCTCTCTGTGATTTTGACTACTGTAAGTCATTTATACAAGTGGAATGATACAGCATTTGTCTTTTTGTGACTGACTTATTTCACTTAGCGTAATGTCTTCATTTCATCCATGTAGCATATGTCAGAATTTCTTTCGTTAAGGCTGAAAAATATGCCACTGTATGCATATATCATACCTTGTTTATAAATTGATGGACACTCTGGTTGCTCCCACCTTTTGGCTACTTGGTGAATAATACTGCTATGAACATGTGTACAGATATTGCTTCAAGTCCCTGCTTTCACTTTTTTTGGGTTTCTGCCCAGAGTTGAATTGCTGGATCATTATTTTCCCCATCTTAATTAATAAAAATGTCTTGGGAGATGATACTTAGAGACTATGTAAATATCCTGTTATTTTCACGCTTTCGCCTACTAGTTTTAGCATCCATCGATTCCTATCTGAATCAATTATTCTAATGGTTTCCAAATGGCAGTTTTCTAATTTTACCATTCTTTTCTACGTTTATGAGTTGGCATTTTACCGTAGGAAAGCAATTTCCCTTCTCCCCCATTGACTTGTGAATATGGACTCGTTTTATTCAATAGGTTACAGTCCTTTACTCCATGGACACTTTGTTGCTCTGAGTAATTCTTTGCCCCATTTACTTGTGACTATGGACTCGTTTTATTCAATGGTTTACAATGCTTGCCTCCACGGACACTTTGCTATTCCGAACAATTCTTGTCCCTGTGACTACCGAGTGAAAGTTTGGGGAAATACGGGGACTTTCTGTATTTCTTTGTCACCATTAAGCAAACCGAAAGGGCAGCCTGCCTTTCCCAAATCGAGAAAGAGCACTCTCCCGCCCACGCATTAGTTTGATGAAAGTGGAGATCCCGTTTTCGCAAGGTGCGCCCTGCGCGAACCACATTTCCCAGAGGCCCCCGGGGCTTACGTCATCACCGCGCGCGGCTTTTCGCTCGCGAAGCCGGCTTCGGCGAGCTCGCGGTGGCGGCGGCAACATGGCGGACGTGCTAAGTGTCGGAGTGAACCTGGAGGCCTTTTCCCAGGCCATCAGTGCCATCCAGGCGCTGCGCTCCAGCGTGAGCAGGGTGTTCGACTGCCTGAAGGATGGCATGCGGAACAAGGAGACGCTGGAGGGCCGGGAGAAGGCCTTCATTGCGCACTTCCAGGACAACTTGCATTCGGTCAACCGGGACCTCAAGTAGGTACCGGCTGAAGGGGCCGGGGTCGGGGACCGGCCCCGCTCCGACCTTGCCCCTACCCCGCTCGAGTCTCCCCAGTTTGGGGCCGTTCTCCATTTCCCTTGCTGTCCTTTCTTTTGCGTTCTCTCCACGCCTCTGCCTGCCCCTCAGGGACACCTCTTCCCCACCCTTGCGATCCCGCTTTCTCGTGTGGCCGGTCCTTGACCCCTTCTGTGGTCGCCCTTTCCAGACGAGGAGGCTTGCTTTCCCCCGGAACTTCCACTTCTCGGAGCTTGGCAGGTTTCTCACCTGTAGGCCCTCCGTGCCCCATCATGTCTGATCAGAATGTACTGATGGGCTAAACAGGACCTGGTCAGCGCTGCCCCAAACCCAAGTGAACCCGATCTGGTTAGCCCCAGTACCCCGCCCCTGAACTTGGACTTCACCAGTTGCACCTCCACTGACCCCCAAGTATGACAAAACGGGCCAGGCCTTGATCTATCTTTCCCTTTTCCCCTTCTCCCTCCAAAACCACCTCACGGTACCCTTACTCTGCTCTCAGTGCTCCTTTTCAGGTCCTGCCCCAGTAGGAACTTAATCTCTCTCTCTCTCTCTTTTTTTCTTTGAGCAATCAAGAAGCGCCTACTATGTACCCGGGAATTTTTTACTCGTCCACCTGAGGACGAATCTGTCTGTCCAGGCTGGAGTGCTGTGGCACGCCCACGGCCACCGCAGCCTCGGTCTGCTGGGTTCGGGCGATCTTTCCGCCTCAGCCTTCCAAGTAGTTGGAACTACTGGCACCCGCACCACCATTCCTGACTAAGTTTTCTTGACTTATTGTAGAAATGAGGTCTCAACAGGTTGCCTCGATTGGTCTCTAACCCGTGGGCTCAGGCAATCCTCTCACCTACGCCTCCCAAAGTGCTGGGATTATAGACTTGAGCCCCTGCGCTGGCATGGAACATCATCTCTTAACCAGTTTAATAACTTGTGCTTAATTTGTGGTCCTTTAGGGTTAAGGCTTATTCTTTTCCTTCTCTTTCTTACAGATCACCTTTTTTACTTATACTTTATAAGTGTTGTAAGAACTGAACGAGTAAAAAATTTCTGGGTACATAGTAGGCGCTTCTTGATTGCTTAAGTCCTGAACTGCCTTCCCTTCCTTAGGCGAGTCAGTCCTTCCCAGGAAGGTTAGAATTTCAGGATTTTTGCCTTTACTTCTCAGACTGACCTTAGTAGGGGAAGGCATTTGGTGAACTAGTCATCCGATGATTTCTGGACTGGTTGGATTTTTTTTTTTTTTCATTTTAGTCTCCTTAGTAACCAGATGGAAAGAGGAGGTAGGATGAAGGAGGAGGTGGTGGCCAAATGATGGGTGTCTTTTTGTTTTTTCCCCCCCGAAGTAGTTGCCATAAATCACACACCCCTCCTCAACTCCCACATCCACTTGCTGTTGTTCTCTGGCATAGCGCCAAGCACCAGTTAATACTTTCCCTGCTGCAGGAGATGCACTGGTTCTTCTTTCCTAGAGAAATTTCCATTTTTCTCTGACTTGCTTTCCTTTGTAATACTCAGGATGTTGTAACTCTTCACCATTTTAGAAACTTTAGGGACGTTGACATTCCCCTTTTGCCTTCTTAAATCTTTGTATAGTAGTGCCAAGAAGAAGGTGACTGAAGATCTCAAAAAAGCATGTGGCATGAGAAGCTTTTCCCAGAGTCTTTTCTTTCTTTTTTTTTTGAGTCAGAGTCTTACTCTGTTGCCCAGGCTGGAGTGCACAATTATGGCTCACTGTAGCCTCGACCTCCTGGACTCAGGTGATCCTTCTGTCTCAGCCTCCCGAGTAGCTGGGACTACAGGCGCTTGCCACCATTGCCCACCTCATTTTTTTTTTTTTTTAATTTTTGTAGCGGCGAGGTCTTGCTATGTTGAACAGGCTGGTTTCGAACTCCTGGGCTCAACTGATTCTCTCGCCACAGCCTCCCGTGCCCAGTCTTTTGTTGGCAGTTTGGGACTGGCCCCCCAAAACGTGCTTTTGTTGTTGGTGCGCTTTCCCAAGCTTCTCCAGTTTTCCTGCTAGACAAGTATGTTTGCTTGACACAGCCTCCTCAGTGGTGTCTTCCTATTCCATTTGTTTATTTTATCTCTTCTTTGTTTTGTTAAGTTTTGCCATATGTGAGGCATCATGTACAAATCTATCCCTATGTGGATGATAAATAATCATCATTTATTCAGGTACTTGCCTTTCTGCCAAATGTAATGTTTTGCACGTAGGTCTGAAAACACTGTGAGAGACACTGTTATGCTACATTTCAAAATTCTAGAAAGTCTCCTCCCCTCCACAGAGACTCATTTGAGTTGTCAAATTCTGATTTTAAGAGTTGTATTGATTCTCGTGCCCTTAATTTTTTTTTTTTTTTGAGTCAGTCTCACTCTGTTACCCAGACTAGAGTGCACTGGCATGCTCATGGCCACTGCAGCCTCAACCTGCTGGGCTCTGGCGATCCTTTCAGCTCAGCCTTCCAAGTAACTGGAACTATAGGCACATACCACCATGCCTAGCTAATTTTTTGATTTATTGTAGACACAAGATCTCACCAAGTTGCCCGGGCTGATCTCGAATCCCTGAACTCAGGCAATCCTCTCGCCTCGGCCTCCCAACGTACTGGGATTACAGGCTTGAGCCACTGTGCCCGGCTATTTTTAATTTTTTTGATTCAGAACCTCACTCTGTTATACAGGCTGGAGTGCAGTGGCACGGTCATGGTTCACTGCAGCCTCGATCTCCTGGGCAGGTGATCCTTCCATCTCAGCCTCCCATGCGGCTGGGACTACAGATGTACGCCACCACGCCTGGCTAATTTTTTTGATATTTTGTAGAAACGAGGTCTTGCTATGTTGCCCAGGTTGGTCTCAAACTCCTGGGCTCAAGTGATTCCCCCACCTCAACCTCCTGAAGTGCTAGGATTACAGGCATAAGCCACCGCACCTGGCCTTTTTTTTTTAACGTCCCTAATCTTTTTTTTTGAGTTGGAGTCTCACTCTGTTGTCCAGACTGGAGTGCAGTGGCATGCTCCCGGCCACCGCAGCTTCAACCTGCTAGGCTCTGGCGATCCTTCTGCCTCAGCCTTCCAAGTAACCGGAACTACAAGCATGCGCTACCATGCCCAGCTAATTTTTGATTTATTGTAGAGACGAGGTCTCACCAAGTTGCCCGGGTGGGTCTCAAACCCGCGGGCTCCCAAAGCACTGGGATTACAGGCTGAGCCGCTGAGCCCGGCCCATCTCTAATCTTTTTTACCTTTCAAAGAATATTTCTTCCTAAGGGACTTCAGATGGATAGCTTGAGGAGCAATATTTGATCATTGTAGTTGGCTTCGCACTCAAATTTAAGTGGACTCAGATTTATTTGCTTTCTCTGTTTGCCTTTCAGTGAGCTGGAACGTCTGAGCAACTTGGTAGGCAAGCCATCTGAGAACCACCCTCTCCATAACAGTGGGCTGTTAAGCCTGGATCCCGTGCAGGACAAAACTCCTCTCTATAGTCAACTCCTTCAAGCATATAAATGGTCAAACAAGGTAAAGGCGATGTCATACATGGAGCTAATAAATGAAAAGTCAGATTTTCTTCTATCCGTAAATGCAGAAAGGAGGGGGTAAGTTTTTATTTCTTTGATATTCTTTGGGTTTCTTTTTTTTGAGTCAAAGTTTCACTCTGTCACCCAGGCTGGAGTGTTACGGCTCACTGCAGCCTCAACCTCCTGGGCTTGGGTGATCCTTCTACCTTAGCTTCCCGAGTAGCTGAGACTACAGGTGTACACCACCATGCCCAGCTGATTTAAAAAAAAAATTTTTTTTTGTACAGATGAGATCTCGCTATGTTGCCCAGGCTGGTTTCAAACTCCTGGGCTCAAAGCATCCTCCTGCTCAACCTCCCAAAATACTGGGATTACAGGTATGAGCCACTACGCCCAGCCTCTTTTCTGTTTTTGGTTTAGCATAGTTATTGAGTTGGAAGGCCTAGAATTTTTCTACAAGTTATTTTATAGTATTTGAAGTCTTTGTGATAACACTTCACCATTTTAGAAATGGATTAGTAATGTGCTGGTAATCGTGTTTTAAAAAAATTCTAAGTCTGGTATATTTAGCCTTGAGCAACTTTTATGAACCCCTTGAAATTATATGCTGTGTGTTGTAGTATGTGCATTTTTGTCTGGGGAAGGCTTCCTGGCTTTCAAAGGTTCAGGGGGGGTGGTCTCAATGTTTCGCTACCCACATTATGTTCCTGTATTATCTCTTCCCCTGTCATTGTTGAAAGAGCATCACTAGAATATGTTTGTCAGATAATTCTCTAACTACTCTCCAATTACTTTAGACCCCGGTGAGCGAGGATTGTTCTTCACGTGCTCCATAGAATTTGATATTCATGGTTCCCTTCAGTGGGCAGCCCTGTGGCATAGACCTTGGGCAGCTATAAAAGGAAAACTAAACTGCAGTCTAAAAGTATCAGGAACAGTTAGGCTTGTAAGTCTAGAAGCAGTCGGTTTGTTTACCAACGAGTTCCTTTTGTTTGGGTGCTATGTGTTATATGGGTGTGTATGCGTTTTTTTGTTTTTATGTTGATAGGGAACTGGGATATATACTTTAGGGATGATTTTGGACTCTGTTTTCATTATTCTGTGCTACCTCCTTGGAATCTTGTTCTTCCGGTTATTGGTTGTATAACTCTGTGTGGGGTGTCCACACCCATTGTCCTTTTCCCCTTTTCTGTGGTCCCTTTGCCCCTAGGTCTTGGATGACACAGGAACCTTGACAATTTTTCTTTGATTTATTTTTTTGAGTCAGAGTCTCTGACACCCAGGCTGGCATGCAATGGTGTGATCACAGCTCAACCACAGCCTCAACCTCCTGGGCTCAGGCAATCCCTCCCTCAGCCTCCGAAGTAGCTGGGACTATTGGTGTGTGCCACCACTCCTGGCTAATTTTTTAATTTTTTGTAGAGACGAACTCTCACTATGTTGCCCAGGCTGGTCTCACACTCCTAGCCTCAAGCAGTCCTCCTGCCTCAGCCTCTCAAAGTGCTTACTTTGAGTGCTTACATATGTGAGCCACCACAGCCTGACAGGCTAACAGCTTTTCTGGTGTGCAGAATTTTGTCTTTGAATTTCTTTGTGGGGATATTTTAATATTCTTTGGTTTGAAGTAGACCCCCTAATACTCTTTGGTTTAAAGCTGAGTCTGAGCCGGGCTGGGTGGCTCAGCCTGTAATCCTGCGCTTTGGGAGGCTGAGGTGAGTGGACTGCCTGAGCCCACGGGTTCGAGACCCACCTGGGCAGGTAAGACCTCATCTCTACAATAAATCAAAAAATTAGCTGGGCATGGTAGCGCATGCCTGTAATTCCAGCTACTTGGAAGGCTGAGGCGGAAGGATCGCCGGAGCCCAGCAGGTTGAGGCTGCGGTGACCGGGAGCAGCCACTGCACTCCAGTCTGGGCAACAGAGTGAGACTCCAACTTAAACAAACAAGCAAACAAACAAACAAACAAATAAATAAATAAAGCTGAGTCTGAGATTCAGGGAGAAGGTGATTTATCGTGGGTTACTAAAGGAATAACTCGAGTCTCGAACATACACATTTGGCCTACATGGCCTTTCTCCCAAACTCTGGGCTGCCAGTGACAGAAACCCAGTTGGTTCTAGATTTAGCGTTCAGGAGTTCAAGGCTGAGCTCATGAGGATCGGGCTGCTCGGGTGGTGTGGCAGAACTCGGTCCCACTCTTGCCCTCTGTAGGCCTGCTTTGTTGGCCCGAGACTCAACAGGTGGGGGAAAAGCTGACCCGGCCTTGTGGGTTTGCACAGTCCTCGTACCTGGCAGTCTCCTGCTGTCTGTGTCAGGGCCTGAAAAAGATAATTGTTCTGTAGAAGGGTGACAAGCTCTCTCTGGTTCCTGCTTGGTGGGTGACCTCCAAGATGGTTTGTTGAGCCCCTGGGTGGGATTCTCAGCTTGGATCACCTCAAACACGGGAAATGGGGCTCCTTGGAGTTGGAGAGAGTCAGTTCCCAAAAGGAGGTGATATGAGGGGCCGAAGAAAACCTTACAGATGTCTGTTGCAGTTGCCGAAGCCAGACCGTCTTGTTTAAGCTTCCTTGTTTCCCCAGGGGCACTCTATGGTGATCCGGTGGAACCTAATTAGCAGCTGCGTGGTGCGACTTATTTCTGGTTGGACTTCTGTAGAAATTCTGGCTTTTGGTGTTTGGACAGGGAAGCCGTTTTGCTGTATCCCGTGGCTAAAGTTGTTCTTAAATTGGGCTGCAGGGACAGGGCTTTTGAGTAGCAGGAAGAGTGAGGTTGATCTCATAGCCATGAGTGACTGGGACCCTCCATGGAAATAACTGATCTTACATTGAAGTGATGATACTTAACTTTTGAATGAAAGTAGTTTGATTCACTGAATTGATTGATTGATTGAATAGGGGTCTCACTCTGTCATCCAGGCTGGAGTACAGTGGCACAATCCCAGCTCGCTGCAGCCTTGAATTCTTGGACTCAAGTGACCCTTTCTCCTCAGCCTCCCCAGGAGCTGGGACTACAGGTGTGCGCCACCACATCTGTCCAATTTTTTGATGTTTTGTAGAGAAAGTCTCGCTATGTTGCTCAGGCTGGTCTTGAACTCCTGCGCTCAAGCTGTCCTCGCCTCCACCTCCCAAAGTGCTGGGATTATAGGCCTGAGCCTCCACGCCTGGCCTAATTCATTGAATTAACTGTCAGCTATAGAAGTTCCTATCCCTAACTCCCATCCTTACCCTGAGGTGGAAAAAGGGTTCTATTAAGGAAAAGATGCTACAGGTCAGAAATACACGTGTGTTTATCACAGATTATGAATCTCCTGTGAGGAGGTGTACAGGCTGAGCCGTGTCCCTGGTCTGGGAAGGTCCAGCCCCTGGAAAGGAACTGTGTGCTTCCACCAGTTCCCTAGCGCCACCAGTTAAGAGATTCAGCCCAGTTTAGAGCTGAGCAGACCGAGACCCCGTGAAGTGACCAGTTGACATTTCCCAGCCCTACTAGAATTTGGGTTTCATTGTTCTTGCCTCTAAAACTTGACACTTTTTCCAGTTTTGTTTAAGATTTTCAATGATAGAAAACATTTTTTCTGTTTGCCCGCATCCTGGAAACAATTCACATTATATTTTATTCATCAATCTGTTTGCATTTTCCCTATTTTAAATGGTTCATCAAAGGGAGGAGTTGGCAAATATATGGTCTATGGGTCCTTAAACTATTGTTCTTTCTGGGGCAGGCATCACTAATCAACCGTTGCATTCTTTCCTGCTAGGGCTGTGTGGATAGGCCCAGAATCGTGGCAACTCTCTGCTCTAGGGCTAGGCAGCCATGGCAATTATTCAAAGGAGGGCTGCAGGGACATTTTTATTTTCTTACAGCAGATAATGTCCTGTGTCACTGTTATTTCTACCTTACCTTATTCCAGAAAGGATTTCAGGTAGATTATGAGAGTACATAAACCCTGAAAGGACTTTGTGTTGGTGGGAAGATTGAGGTTGATCTCAAAATCCTGAGTGACTGGGAAACAGGAAAGAAAGATAAGTATGTCTGTGTGCATTTCTTTAGTAAGCTCGAGAAGTAGCCTCCAGAAATAAACCAGTATTCTAATTTCCAGCTGGGGATATGGAAGAAGCAAACAATTAATTATATGTGTTTATCTTGCCGCTCTTTCCAATGAAAAGAGCTTTTTAATTGCTAAGGCTTTCACCATTCATCATCTTACCCTAAAAGAATTTAAACCAGTAAGTGCAATAATATGTTAAGTGAAGTTTGGGGTAACTTGCCAATGTCAGCTCTACGCACTATTGGCTAAGGATTGAAGCAAGTCTGGGGAAGGCTTTGATACCACCCATTATGAGGTGAACTTTCTGTTTTATGCGCTCTCGGCCATAGGAAAGTCTCGTTCATGCCTAATGACTAATTATTTTCTTGAGGGGATTTTGTAATTTTTGTAAAGTCAGTTGGAATATTAATTACATGGTAGTTGGCATAATTGTTAGAATAACACATTTAAAAATTAATCTAATCTAATGGAATGATGTCAAAGTGCTGCGAGCAGCACTTTTCCCATGCTGAATTGGGGAAAGAACTTGGCTTTTAACTATTATGCACCTATAGATAATTGTTCTGTAGAAGGGTGACAAGCTCTCTTGACTAGGGCAAAAAATAATTGGCATCAACGCTGTCCTTGCTGTAAAATAGTCAGTGTAGTCTTGGTATCGCTTATTATGTTCAGAGATGCTTTAGATTTGAACTTCTTTGAAGCTGTTTCTGGAGGTTTCCAGTGTCCTGTCACCAGATTTTTATTTCTGGCTTTGACTTTTTTCATTTGTTTGTAGCAGGAGGCTACTTGTCTGTTTACCTGGAAAAGTAGACTAAGACTTTAGCTTGCTAATGTCTGAAGCAGTGAAGGCCCTAGAAGTGTCACTTTCTTGGGAATTGGGCCCAGAGCAAGGTGCTGCTGCTGCCTTTTATTTTATTTTTTCACACGCTTGAGTTTTTATTACAGAAAGAGCAAT